CGCTCCTGGTGCTCAGCCTGACCCATCTACTCATGGAGTGAGTCTTCAGCGACAGGCGATGCCAACAGCTCTAGACTTGGAAAGTGCTCGATGGCTACCACAATGGGGTCTAGAAAGTGCCTTACATGGAAGGTCACTTCCAAGCCAACACCACAACATCCAATTCAGTGAGGTCTGGATGCAGCACTTCAAAGCCAGGCTGAGGACAGCTGCATCATATGGGTACAACTGAGAAAACCAACAAGGAGTTGCGTAAAGGAAATAAAATGATAGCAAAAATAGGCAGGGCTTAAAAAAGATGCCCTCCCACCTAGGACACAGGCAAAAAACCTGGGCATGCTGGTAGGAGGTTATCCTGTGTTAGCCTAAGCCTTTGTTTGCTAGTGTCCAATCCCCCTGTAGGAGGCAGTATAAACCGACAGTAAATGAGTTCCTGTGCCCCCTCAGTGGACAAGAAAAAAAAATATTTGGTGTCCATGCTGATGTTGAAAGCCTGACAGCAGAATCTTTCAATTAGTTTGTTAGATTTCCAAACTCAGTTGAGCAAAGACCAATGCTGACTGTTATTAGTAGAATTCCAAATATTGGTTTCAAAAAGTGAGGAAGATCAGAACCTCTGGCCACTTTTACTACCGTGAGACCCATGAAGGGGGAGCTCCCTTTATTTTCTGTATTGAACACTTGGCACAGGGATTGGAAGCTATTAAGACACTGGCTAACTTAAAACCTTTAGGCAAAAAAGTGGCGGAAAGGGTTTGTGGAGAGATATATCAAACCATGCGTAAAACTATATCAAATTATTGTACATAAAATGAATTGCAGTAAAAACATTGCTTGGACCTTACAGTTGATGAAACTTATAGATAGCATTATTACATACATACATGACTGCAGTATCCCCATTATTGCCCAACTAGATTCATCCCTTCTCATTAATTAGCCTGACATACATAAATTAATTTGTTAAATTCTTAAACATATAAGCCATGATTTGTTCCAAATGATCAATTCATTGGTGTGTTCTTCAAACTGTATTTCAGATACTTTGTCCCAACCTGATTATTCCCAACATAATTATTCCCTACGCGTTTCGCACTTAAGCTTCCTCAGGGGATCAAATTAGTCTATTAAAAAAATGGAAATGAAATTGTTTGCATTGTATATCATCACATTTGGGCATGCCCATTTTGATGTAATGCCTATAGTAAGTGGGGGAACACCACACTACTGTATCTATTGCTATAGCGTTGATATGCAATATGTCCAGTGGATGGGTTGACATTTAACACATGAATACGAGGGTGCATGTCCATGTTGGGGGATTGGATGCCTCACATGGTGCTGAGCGTGGGGGGCTGAGATCGTTGAATTCTCCTCTGGACTTCATTCCTCTGTCCCCTTGGCCTTTCATCGCCAAGTGCTCACCGAGCCTGACATGCATTCATGTATGTATGTAATAATGCTATCTATAAGTTTCATCAACTGTAATGACCAAGCAATGTTTTTACTGCAATTAATTTTATGTACAATAATTTGATATAGTTTTACGCATGGTTTGCTATATCTCTCCACAAACCCTTTCCTCCACTTTTTTGCCTATACATTACATATTAGGGGGAGAGATCAATGCAACGAGCCAGGGTGGAGGTGACCCACAACATTTTTTTCTGTGTTTTACTTAAAACCTTTGATTGGCTTAAAACCTGGAGTTTATAATCCTTAAAAATAGAACTATGAGGTGAGTGATTTTCACTCAGCCTCATAGTTCTAGCCGACCTGTGACAATGAAACTGTCACAGGTCAGCTCAGTAAATCGGGAAGTGAGCGAACACATACAGGTGCTCACTCACTTCTCGATCCTGTGCCGGCAGAGAGCCGGGAGGGACTGGATTCCCCCGCCGCTGTCCGATCCTCCAGCGCTGACTGGCGGAACGGACAGGGGAGGGTACAGCTGGCTCTGCCTCTAGATAGGCAGAGGCAGCTGTCACTCACGCAGCTGGGTGGATCCAGACATAAGTCAGGATCCACTCCGGCGTCTCAGTATACCACGAGCTGTAGCTCGCAGTATACTGAGCTTTGGGTTACGGGAGGACGGTAGTTTGTGTCTTCCCGTTACTCTTAGGAGAACTATGGGGGAAAACCCTAACCCCATGGTTCTCCTTTAAGTAAAACAAGTCATCTAACACCATACAAGTATCAAAGCAGATCATGCAAGGTGAAAGGTTTATGCAGAAATACCACACTTTCACATCTTAAGTGTAAAGACAAAAACTGACCAGCCAAATTAAATTTTCTTTATTATGTGGCTATACATTGTTCATACAAGATGTTAGTTACAAAACAATCCCAGCCCTCCCAGTCCCATAATATCCCAAACAGTATCTAGGTAATAGGTTACAAGAGAACATTTCTGACATATGTATGGCTGTAAGAAGCAGTACATGTTACTACACGAGACTGCCAGTCAACTGGAGGTCCCCTTTAAAACATGTTTGTATAAAAGATATTGAACAGTCTGCAGCACTGTACAGTGCAATCACATTTTTAGATGCCTTCCTAAGAATGTTGCCTGCACCAAACCCTGGAAAGCTGTAACATTTCCTTGATGAGTTAAAGTAGAACTGAAGCAAACATTTTTTTTTAGTTTAGGAAAGTGTAAGGGAAGGTTGTAACCCAGTCAGCTTTTTTGCCATCTTGGTCCAATTGGGGAGATTTCCTTTCATTTGCTGTCCGATAGCCACAGCACCTCTCCAAAGTGAGGAAATTCCATGGTGGTCAACAGTCATCAGAACTAGTGTCTCCATTGAAGAATCCCAAATTTTTCTGTTCTGGTGATAACACAAAAGTCACGAAGGCAAAGAATTTCCCAAACAGAGACTGAGCAATAAAACCTGTCAGGTGTTCTAATCCCTGCACTCAATCCAAAACCAAAAAAAATGGCTTCAGTTGCATTTTTAGTGTTCCTGTCTCCTACCACACACTCCCTTTAACCAGTAAAGGTAATACATATGCATGGGGCAATGGGTGATAGTCCAGCGCTACCATACATGTTAAATTAAATACATCTAGAACACTGGTGAGGACATCAGGCATGTTCAGCCACTGACAGGTGCTTGCTGTGTAGAGCCACATCATGTACAATACTATATCATATTGACAAGTCAACTTTGAAGTAATGCCACAGCAGAGATGAAACCTATGGCCCTGTAACTTCTAAAACAGGAATGTAATACTTCTTGTGTACCAATATGTCAATTTGGTAAGACTGTTTACCCTTGCTGGAAGAAATGGAACGCCATCGTTTTGGGGCAATAATTAGACAACTGTAGTATATGCTCTTTGCATACGACCATTGTCTTCATCTTAAAAAAGTGAATATAAAATGTTAAATTTTTTAAATGGGTATACTTCAAAAAATTTAGAAAAAAGCAGAGTACTGTAAAATCCAATTAAAATCTACATAATTTGCAGCTGCTATGCAGGATACAAAATGCACGCCCTTTGAAAAGTTAGAAGTGACCATGAACACTTGGTTCTGCAGTCAAGCTACTTCGTTTATAGTACACTTCACTCTTCATTCCAAGATCATGCATGTAAAAAATCTTAAAAGCTATCTAACCAATGGTAACTGAACAGGAAAACACCGCCAAAATAAGGTGAGAAGCACACCATTTAGGCCAAAACCCACTTAAAACCAAATACACTACAAAGTGATTAAAGGCTGTGTAGACTCAGAGCATCAAACTGTGGCTGTGGAAATACCCCACTGGCACTAAAAGGTGTTTATAGTCTAAACAGGTGTTTTAGCATCTAAGTCAATATTGGCCAAAAGAATTTGGCCTTTAAAATTATAAATATAGAATGTCTTCTGTATTTTCTTACTTTCAGGTATACTTTCTATGGAAAATGAATTGTCAATTAGTTTCCATGGTGCAGTAGAACCAATTTTCTGCTTAATTGCTGTCTATTTAGCCATTACAGCTATTGGGAAACAGAAAGCCAATCACAGAATTTAGTCATGTTTTGGAATTTTCCATGTTGTGGAAATTGCCAAGGACTAGATTACTTCCGTTACGTGTTCTTTAGCTGCAGACATTCAGTTGGGTACACAAATCTGGCATTTACCATTCTGACAAGTCACTCAGTGCACCAAACCCCTATAAATTACACAGAATAATGTCATTTAAAACTGTGACAGGCATGTGTGATATTTAGTACACACTCCAAAACTAGCTGTTACTCCAACAGAACCAAAAAGCCTAACATAAAACCTATAAGGACAATACACAAGTGAAAAGTTTACATAGGTGCTTAAAACAAACCTCAATTGGGACAATACACAAGTGAATGGTATTAAGTGGGTGCATAAAACAAAATCTCTGGGGACAATACACGCAACGATGTGAGCATCACACTATCAAGCGTGAAATAACAGGGCATAAACCAAATCAAACATGAACACGCTAAAGTATTTGGCTCTGAAAAACAGCGATAACACAAGAACAATTTAAAAAAACAAGAAAATATGCTTGAGTAAAGTGTCACATGAAAAACGGTGTTAACAATGGATTAAATATACTTTAAGATTGTGTCAAATGTGACAAAAATTGTGTCAAAGGTGACAAAAATTGTGTCAAGCCAAACGTGGAAAAAAATTGTGTCAAACGTGACAAAAAACAAAATTTTAACAACTTAAAACCAACACCCCTAAAGAGTAGGCAAAATAAAGTGTATCACAGTACATCACCACACTAAGGGGCCAATTTATCAATCTTCAGTTCAGCAGCAATTTCTATGCTCCTCGGCCTTATCTAGTGGTGCAAACAGCATTTGTCCAGCGTACGGCTGGGCGGAAGATTTATAAATAGGTCCCTCAGTCAACTTATTTTTGAGCTGAATGGCACTGACTGAAAAGAACATTACTGCTAGCAGAGTGGTTTTTTGGAAGTCCGTAAACTACAAGTGCTACATCGTTGGCATTAATAGTGTGAAGTGCAGCTTTACACTCCCGATTTTTCCAAGGTGGACCTAAACATGGATCTTCTTTTGAACTGATGCACTCTTCTGTTCTGGAAAGGAAAAAAAAAAAAAGAACGTTAACGGACTTTCAAAATAAAAGATATCAAAATATTTAAACTTGTTTTGAATAGACTAGGGTGGTGTTGGAACCTGTCAGAGATTATTGCGGTTTGTGGCCCTGTTGGGAAGATTCCTCCTCACTTTGACAGATGACAACACAGAAGTTGGGCAGAAAGTTGGGGGACATTGTTGTCGCAGTGTGCATTGTGGGGACTTTTGTACTCCGTAAAATTCTTCAGTAGATTAGTGGCACCTTCATTTGGTATATGCCCTACCACTAGGTTGAACACAAAGAAGCAAATTACACTCAGGAGGGAAACGGGTTCGACGTACGTGATAAAACACATAGTTCAACCGATAATATACCACAATGGTTGACGGAAAGTGGAATAGAACAAAGACTTAAAATGCTCAATGCAAATAAAGCAGTTGGACCAGATAACCTTCACCCCAAGGTACTTAGGGAACTAAGCCTAGATTGTGACATTGCAGGAGGACCTGGATAAAATAGGGGAGTGGGCAATACTATGGCAGATGAGGTTTAATGTCGATAAATGCAAAGTAATGCACTTTGGAAATAAAAATAAACAAATGGGCTATACCATCATGGGTATGCCGCTAGGGAAGTCAAAAATAGAAAAAGATTTGGGGGTCATTGTAGACCACAAACTGAATGGTAGCTTGCAGTGCCAAGCTGCGGTAAACAAAGCTAGCAGGGTCTTGTCCTGTATTAAGGAGATTAAGGGGGGATATTATTTTTTATGTACAAGATGTTCAATGGTGACAGCAACATTGGCAACAAACTCTTTAAGATTAACTCCATTACAAAGACTAGAGGCCACCACCTAAAGTTGGTGGAGAAAAAATTCCAGCACAATGAGCGAAGAGGGTTCTTTACAGTAAGAGCGGTTAAGGTCTGGAACTCACTGCCATCGGCAGTGATTTCAGCCAAGAGTGTAGATTTGTTCAAGAAACTTTGGACAATTTCTTGAGGGACCGTAATATCCAGGGATACCAGTATCCCTAAGAATGAGATGATGCGTGGACCTATATGGGTTGGATTTGATGGACGTATATCTTTATTCAACCCCAAATACTATGTAACTATGTAACTTAGCCCCACTTAAATCTCTTTGCACAAGAATCTAACCACAGTAGTAGCTTGCAGGTAACCACAGAACCCTAAACCTTTAACACGGACAGCAAGGCCAGATCCCTTAAAGACCTGCTGGGAGAAGGAAAATGTTTAATTTTTTTTCTACTCAACTGTAAAATCTTTTTCTGTGTTCATTGAGGGACGCAGCAGAGACCTTGAACTCTGTACCAATGGGTTATACTGCCACTTGCAGGAGGACAACACTAGGCACAAAAAAGTTCAGCCCTGGGGTAGCTCCTGCTGGTGGCCACACCATAATTTAAGGCAGCTCAGACACAAAGCAGTAGAACGCAGAAAAAGACAAAGGAATCAGGGAGTTGTATGCTGCAATGAATGCAGAGATCTTGATCTCTGTACCGATGGGACGTCTCAAAGCAGTATCCACCAAGGGGTGGGAACAATTTAAAAAAAAAAAACCCAGGACACAAACTAAACAATCACCTGTAAAACTTTGCGGGCAAAGGAAACATCCGCAGATGTATACAGACAACCAGGTAGCTGTCTTACAGACTCGAGAAACAGGAGCTTAATATTGCAAAAGCCCATGATGTGCTAACAGCACGAGTAGAATGAGCTATAACCAGAAAAGATGGAGATTGTCCTATAAGAGCATAAGCCTAAATAACTTGTCCGACCCAACAAGAAATGGTATCTGTAGAAGCCGCTTCTCCTTTCCGTGGGCCATCAGTAATCACAAAGAGAGAATATGACTTAGAAAGATTCAATAGTAGCCAAACTCACACGGCCCTAACTTCATCCAGACAGTGAAGCGCAATTTCATTAGAATGTATCAGATGAGGATAAAATTAGGCTAGAACATCCTCATTTAGATGGAAATCAGATACTTCCTTAGAAAGAAAGGATGTCTAGTATGAAGAACTACCTTACCTTTATGCAAAATCAAAAAAGGAGGTTCACAAATTTCTAAAAGGCAGCAAATTCCAAAACTCTGAGCAGATATAATGGCAATTAAAAAGGCCACCTTCTGTGACAAAATTAGTAAAGGGAAATCACGAATACTCAAAAGGAGAATTCTGTAAGAACTAAAGTCCCAGGGAGGTAAAGGAGACTTGACTGGAAGAGAAACATGTAAAACGCTCTGAATGAAGGTACGAACCAAGGAATTTGAGGCAACTGGCACTCAAGCAACCAGCAAAAAAAAAAAAAAAAAATGCAAAAAAAAAAAAAAAAAAAAATCGGAGATATAATAGGTCCTCGATTTTTTGGTCAGTTGCTTGATAACTTCTATACTGAAAAATTTTGTTAAAGAATTTAGTTAGCAGTTAAATTTATTTGCTTATATCTTGCTGTCGGCCAGCAGCAGAATGTAAACGAGGAGCAATAGCCAGCCTGCTATTGGTTTTTTCAAATTGCAATAGCAGGCTGGCTATTGCACCCGCTCACTGAGCAGAGAAGCGGATCCGAAAGAACTCTCAGGTGCAATAGCAGCCTGCTATTGCAATTTGAAGACGAGCCGACGTGCGACAATGAAACGGTCACAGGTCGGCGCAATGGATCGGGAAGTGAGCAAACACATACCGTCGCTTGCTCACTTCTCGATCTCCCTGCAGAGAGCCGTGACTCTCAATCACGGCTCCCTGCAGGGATTCCCCTCTCCGATCCTCCAGCGCTGACTGAAGGAATGGATGGGGGAGGGGGCGGGCACAGCTGGCTCTGCCTCTAGATAGGCAAAGCCAGCTGTCACTCAGGCAGCTGCGTGGATCTAGACAACATTGTCGTGATCCATCCCGGCAGTCTGTTTATGGCGAGCTGAAGCTCGCGATATAGTGAGCTTTGGGTCGGGATGATGCTAGTATATGTCCTCCCATGACCCTAAAGAGAACTATGAGGAACAACACTTACCCCATAGTTCTTAAAGGAGAACTATGAGGCGAGTGCTTTTCACTCACCTCATAGTTCTAGCCGACTTGTGACAATGAGACTGTCACAGGTCGGCTTAGTAGATCGGGAAGTGAACACATACCGGGGTTCGCTCATTTCTCGATCCTGTCACTGCTCTCTGCCATGACAGGGGAGGGGCTTGATTCCCCCTCCCCAATCCTCCAGCGCTGACTATCTAGAGGCAGAGCCAGCTGTCACTCACGCAGCTGGGCGGATCTAGACATAATTGTCGGGATCCGCTTCAGCTGCGCGCCGCAGTATACCGCGACCGCGGTATACTGACCTTAGGGTGACGGGAGGACGCTAGTTTGTGTCCTCCCGTTACTCGGAGAACTATGGGGGAAAAGCCCTAACCCCATAGTTCTCCTTTAACTCCAAGCACAAATTTATTAAAATAGATCACTCAATAGCCATAGAGTATGATACACCTAATAAGAGGTGGGAATGACAGAGTCCAAAATACCCGTGTCCTTCAGGACTCTGGCTCCAACAGCCAAGTTGTCAAAACCAGTGACTGAGACGCAGGGGTTTACTGGAGTAGGTGGAGTTATATGGGGTCCTCACAGTGGTGGCCAGTGTCAATCACCTGGTGATATTTACATATTTACCCAGTGGTCTCTGAATTGGCGTCTCATACTGTATGATCAAGAAACATTTTTTTTTTCTGGCAGTCCTCCATCAACAGCCCAACACATCTGGCATTATCACAGGACGCCTGCTTGAATAGCAAAGTTCTGTCGAGATGCTTAAGAGGCATTCTACGGGGTTCAACTGTGCAGGCAAGCATTATTTTCTGCCAAGTTTTCTGCTGGAGGTCAAAAGCTTTTTGTGGGCTAGTAGACTGGCATCAGATATTACTTTCATGTTAAAGTGACATTAAACCCTCAGATTTTTTAACATAAACCAATACTGTAATGTGTGGCTTACTGTAATCCATGGTAGTTTCCCTTCTCTTTGCTGCTCTTCCTTTTAAATCCTCATGTCTTCTCATGCTGGGGGAGAATTTCCCTATGCAGCTGAGTGCCTCTTCCTGTAGTGCTGGTTTAGGTTGCAAACCTACACAGACACCATGTATCCATTTCAGACAAGGCAGTCTGCTGCAAAACAGAAGTTCTGTCCAGCATGAGAACAGATACAGATTTAAAAGGAAGAGCAGCAAAGAGAAGGGAAACAACCATGGATTACAGTAAGGCGCACACTACAGTATTGTTTTTGTTAAAAAATCTGAGGGTTTAATGTCACTTTAATTGCATGCCAAGTAATATGCACACCTAAAACATGCTGTTTTAGATGACACTTGTGTCTGAGCAGCTTGTGGCGATGTTTATAAATGCCTGGCAAAGATCAGCCCCTGCAGCAGCCTATTATGTTGTGAATTGCTACAAAGTTACAGTCTCTTTATTAGAGGAGATGAGACTGAAATGCATTTTCCTGCCTATAGCAAACTGATATTTCAACCTAGGCAAAGTCATCTGACTGGAGCTTCACCAGCTCTGCTGACCAGCATTTGAACCATAAGGACCTCTGCATATGGAAAAACAGTAAATTGATTTGCAAAACCAGGTGACTAGAGTCCAAGTTCACATCATACATATAAAAGAACCAAAGCAATTTCATTTAAATGAATGGTGATTACTTTGTGAAGGCAAGACACACTCCGATCCACAGCGAGGACAGACTACTTTTTACAAAAGTCCTTTCCAAACTGATACAAGACTTAAAAGCACTTGCAGGAAGCAAACATGTCGAAGTGTTTCCAATCTCAATCTTCAATGTAGAATAAGACTTTGAACAGCAGGTGCACTGGGAAAGTCTTGCAATCTTAGGGACTTTAACGGATGAAATATCAGGAATAGTACTGTTAGATGCAGCAGAACTGGTGTCAATTTGGCAGTAATATCTGAAGACTGCGACTTCTCTGAGGCAAGCACTTCCAGTAAGGATTGGAGGGACTCCAATAAGAGTCTCAGACAGGGCACACCCAACTAGGGAAGATGCCAAAGATCGGATAGATTCTAGGACCAGAGGAACACTTGATTTGAGGCTGTAGGCAAGCAGTACTGGAGCTGTTAAAGAGTAAGGTGGGGTACCCACAACCCCCCTATCTGGCAGGCAACAGGAACAGACTGAAGATAGGAGTTCCAAGTGGGCATTTGCAATGCAAGAACCACAGCATGGAGATGTCTTCTTGAAGCTGAATGGTGAAAAGCATGGCGCGCTTAACACTCCATCCAACAGATGGGATCAGAACTCTGTCCCTCAGTGTTAACCCCTACTGCAGTGGAAGCTGGGAATTTCAAAAGGTGCCCAGCTACAAAAATAATTGAGTTGGTTCTCAGTGCTTTGCCAGCTTTGCCGCTAACCCATTCTAGCAGACCAGCTCTAGCAGCAATATAGAGAAAAATATTGATTGACGCAGAAAATATGGAAGCAAAAAATAAAAAAGGTGCTGGCAAAATTTGTTTTAGACTTTTCCAAGCAGAGCTGAAGACATTCATCCTCCTTAATACAAATTGAAAACAGGAGGCATGTTGGTAGTAGGAGGGGTTATCCTGGGCTGGCCTACAGTTTTTTTTGCTTGCAAGTATCCAATTCTCCTGTAGGAGGTAGTAAAACCCGCGGGTTAATGACTTTCTTAGCCCCACAATAGATCAGAAACAAAAAATTTAATATACATTCGTGATTAGAGTATCCAGGGCTTTGAGTGCACAGAATGTGAAATATTAAGGAACCATGTGCAAATCAACCTGGTGGAGCAATAAAATGCTATAATGTCATACTATACCTTCAGGAAATCATCTTGAAAAAAAGGCTTCTGGAACCTTCCATCGCCAGAAAACAGACAGGATACAGCAGTTTGTATGCTTCGGTCAATTTTCTACAAATACCAATAAACTTAAATTACGTCTACCCTGTCACAGATCACAGGAGAATCTATGAAATACTTATAACGACCAGTTGATATAGGACAATGTTACCTTTTGGGGACTCGTTGAACCCAAGGAGGCATTTTGCTCTGATATTGTATAGTCAGCTTGCAGCATTTCACAACAGGCTGTCTCAAGGTCATTTCCTGTAAAATTCCAATTAAAGGCCTAGAAAGGAGCAAAAACAATTGTAAAGCACACCAAAAACATAAAAATATAGGATTTTTGTACTCACAGTGAAGTCCTTTTCTGGAGCCCATTGAGGGAGTATTTTACCTATACGGTTATACTGTCACCTAAAGGAAGAATGAACACTGGTAGCCAGAAAAAACTGCAGGCAAGGCCAAGGTTAACCCCTCCCACTACCAGAATGCCTCATTTGAATAGCAAAGCGGTACTGGGAGCATGATTAAAAACAGGAGGGTGGGGCCAGTGTCCCTCAATGGGCACCAATAAAAAGGATTTTATGGCAAGCACAAAAATCCTATTATCGTTCTCATCTATTGAGGGACAAAGGACGTTTTCCAGTTTTATGGTATCAAAAAGCAGTCTAACTGAGCAGTGGGTAACCGCAATCGTCCACCAGGTTAAAAAAAGAATGCAAAAACAGAGACCGGGTCGGGTCAAACAATGCTTGAAGTAGGTCTTGAACCAATTTTGATTCCACGGAGTCAAAATAGATATACTGGGGAAGGTCTATGTAAAGCAAATCACCAGAAAGTTTTCCCTCTCAAGTCTGACTCAGACATGCAAAAGGCACGAGGAAAGGCCTCGACCCAAATGTATGGATCCCATGGGGTCAGTAGGGTAGTAAATCTAGACACCATGCAAATTCTTGGCCTTACAGGGCCAAAAGACCAAATCCAACAAAATCTTTCTGCAACAAGCGACCGGAATCAGGCTGATCCTCCTGATTCAGAAAGGTGCACACCGCATCAACAGCAGCAATATGGTCTCTTCATTCTGAGGTGATAGCAGAAGACTGTTCAAGGATAAGTTCATCAGGTAATGATTAGAACAACTCTAGCAGCGCACCCTATAACCTCTGCGGTCAGTCAGCAAGAACTGGGAGCATTAGACCACAAGGTCTTGTTATCCTGAGCTTGCCTGTAGCCTTTTTGTTTGCCAGTGCCCAATCCTCATGTAGGTGGCAGTATGGTGTAGGTGAAAATGTGTGTCTCTCAATGGATGAGAAAGAAAATGCTATACCAGATAGCTAAAGATTAAGTTGAAGGATTGCTGGCGGGTCCACAAGGGTGTCTATACAATGGATGATGTAACCATGCCAAACGGTACTTTCCGTATGGTGTCAGTTTACTATACTGTATGTGCTTTTTTTTCTTACTGTACTTAACTCAGTAAAAATCAATTTACATAGCTAAATATCCCACGGGGTGAAGTTTAGTCCCTTAGTGCATGAAAGTAAACCTATAACAAACCTGGGCAAATCAAACCTTCATTGAAAACTGCATGTCAAAATAACCAGCTGAGACACAAACACACACACCAATCTTTAAGGTTCTGGAGGCAGAAACAAATGGGGCTAAACTCCACGTTTACTGTAACTACTGTAAAAGTCAAGATTTGCATACAACCCCAGCAATGTATATATCTAGAACTTTGTTTTACCAGAACGTTTCACAGAGCCCCAAGCCTGTGTTCCAGATTAAAACTGATCACAGCAGCTTTTATATTCTTTCTCCATTACAGGTAAACTTTAAAGCAGAACTAAATTGTTTTACACAAAAATAAAGCTTTAATACCTGCTAATTCTTACCATTAGTGCATTTTGCTCAGATGTTGCAAGACTCTTAATAATCCAAGATCTAATATAATTTTTTCCCTTGCAATAGCGTTGTACTGTTGGCTGTGGGACACTAAGCGGCACATAGCCACTTCCTGCAAGAGCAGAGTTGTACAGACTCCGTTCTGTAATCCTTAAAAGGTATAATAACTTTGACAACATTCATAAAGGGGGATTGAATGGATCTCAATTAGCATTGATTCCGTCCAGTGATGCCTATGCTGCCAAATCCCACCTACTTCCTCCAGCCCTGACATACCAAGTCCTGTTAGGGAGCTGTGGCTGTGATAACAGAACTCAATTACTCCTTTCCCCATCCATAGCAACACCCAGAAACACCTGTGTTAAATTTATGTGTATATTTATGTGTATATTAGGGATGCACCGATACCGGCTTTTCGTTGAGTAAACATTTTTTTTTTGGTACTCACTGATACTGAACATCGATACCAGAAGTCCCATTTCGGTATTCAGTATCAGCGAGTACCAAAAAAAAAAAAGAAAGCCCTTGAGATAAAAGATCTAGCCTATCTGGAAGAAGTCACAGTCTGCCAACAGACAAACTAGATAGGCATACAACACCCTGCAAGGCCAATCTGGAGCAACGAGAAAGGAACTTACACAGAGCTACCAAGGTATCCATTGCATACGTCGTTGGATCCCCTGCTCTGGACACATCTGTCCACCTTGTTGTGACGAGAAGCTAGAAAATCCACATCCGGCATCTCTCAGCACTGAAAGTTGTTAACACCTCTGGATGGAGACACCACTCTCCCAGACACAGATGTTTGCATTGGTGTTCGTTCACTACTCAGAAAGTGAACCGTGGAAAATCACTGGGGTGAGATCCGTCCAGGATAAGATTAAGTTCCCTGGCTGCTGAAAAACACCTAGGGACCCCTGATTGATGTAGGTTATTGCCATGGCGTTGTCCGATTGTATCCGTACTGGAAGACCAGAGAAAGGGGGTCCAATAACACAATGTTAGGCGAACTGCCCCAACTCCAGGATGTCGATAGCTTAGATTCCTCCAGAGACTAGCAACTCGGTGATCCAAAACCCTGCCCCAACCCAGAGACTGGCATCCATTATGAAAACCTCTGACAAAAAGCATTTCAAGACAGTGAACATCATCCCCGAGGACAGGCATCCTGGTTCAGGAAGTCAGCCTGATCATCTTGTTAAGAGATTGGTTTTGTCCCATGATGAGAATATTCCATGGAAGAATCCTGGAGTGAAACTGATCAAACAGAACTGCTTCGAAGGTGGACACCATTATTTTCAGAACTCGCATGAATGATTGCATTAAGGATAGTCGATGAGAATGAAGAAGGCAAATTTGACGATCCAAATTTTTTAATTGTCCAGGGGAAAAAAATCTTGGCCAGGGATGCATCGAAAAGAAAACCCAAGTACTCCGGGTGATGCAATGTTCAGATCCAACCAAAGTCCTTAAGGGTTCTCAGTACTGCGGACACAATGATTACCAAAGTCCGAGTAGACAGTTTGCAAATCAAAAAATCGTCTACGTTTTCAAAAATTGGAATGCCCTTTTTGGTAAAGACAACCCAGAATCGTAGCTTAATGAAAACCCTTGGAGTCAAGGCCAGACCCGAGGGAAGGGCCACAAAGTGATAATGGAGTTTGCCTATAGCAAAGCGAAGAAAACAATGACTCAAATTTAGGAACATGTAAATAGGCATCCTTGATGTCGGTGGAAACCAAGACACCTCCTAGACTAAGGGAGACAACTAAACAGATTTCATTCAACCCTTTTGAGTTTGAACTTTGAGCTTTTAAATCCAGGATGGAACAATAACCTTTAGACTCAGGAACAGAGAATGGATTTAAGTTAAAACGGAAAATGTTCTGCTACAGTAACTGGAATAATATCTCCCTGAAGTGCTGCTGAGACATAGGAAGCCAAAAAATCCCGGAGAGAGAAAAAGTAAAAATTCTATTCTAAACCCAAGCATCTGAGGGGGTTGCTTCCCAGATCTCCACAAGGGCTATCAGAAATCCCCTCACCCCAAGAACAAGTGGAGGTCGACCTTCATGCTGAAGCAGACTTAGTCAGTTTGGTGTTCTTAGACTGCTTGGGGAGTCTGGAGGAATCTGACGGTCTAGCAGAGGAAGGAGACTTGTTTCCCTGGGAACTGAAAACCTTTGCAGCTTAACTAATTTCATCCAGGGATGCAGCCAAAAGTTGGTCACCCACATAGGGCCAAGATAAAAGTCCAGTCTTAAATTGAGGATTCACCAATTAGCACTTTAGCCAAATGTCTCTGAAAAGAGGAAAGGAATGCTGTAGGACAGGCATTGCACACAAAATTAGATGCTACTGTCATCTGACCCAATCAATAAAATGTGGGTCAACACTCACAGCCACTCGGTCAGCACTCTGTCTTAGACCAGGTAGCTAGCGTCTGGGAAACAAGAACCATGGCTAACAAGGTTAGAAAAGCTTATCCAGTCAAGAGTACATGGAGCAAAAAAGATTCCAATTTGTTATCAGTAGGGTCTCCAAATGAAAAGGGATCATCAACAGTCAAAGCCCTATTAATGCAATTAGGGCTGCAACTAATGATTTTAATAATCGATCAGTTGGCTAATTGTTTTCAATCAGAAAAAAATTTAAAAAAAATGTATATATATATTAGATAGCTCAATACATACACTGTATGTATGTATGTATGTATGTATATATATTATACAGGTGAAACTCGAATAATTAGAATATCGTGCAAAAGTAATGGCAGTAATTGCTGCAAAAGGCGCCCAAACCAAGTACTGAGTACATATGCATGCTTGTACTTTTCAGAGGTCTGATATTGTTCTATGTACAATCCTTGTTTTATTGATTGCATGTAATATTCTCATTTTCTGAGATTGTGGATTTGGGGTTCTTGGGGTTTTCATGAGCTGTAAGCCATAATTATCACAATTAGGACAAATCACGGCTTGAACTATCTTGCTTTGCATGTAATGAGTCTATCTCATATATTAGTTTCACCTTTTAAGTTGCATTAGTGAAATAAATGAACTTTGCACGATATTCTAATTATTCGAGTTTCACCTGTATATACATATACAAACATAAAATATTGGCACCCCTGCATTCTGTCAGATAACAGCACTTCACGCAGAAAATTGTTGCAATTACAAAAGTTTAGGCATTCATGTTTATTTACTTTGTATTGGTATGGCACAAAATGACAGCTTTTTGGTAAAGCCCATCATTCTACTGTTTTCTTAAAAAGAAATTAGGCTTTTTAAAGAAAAAAAATACAGTCAAACATGGTGGAGGTTCACTGATGTATTGGGGTTGCTTTGCTGCTTCAGGCACTGGATGTCTTGACTGTGTGCTTGGCATTATGAAATCTGAAGACTACCAAAGAATTCTGGGGTGCAATGTAGGGCCCAGTGTCAGAAAGTTGGGTCTTTGTCAGAGGTCATTGGTCTTACAGCAGGACAATGGCCCAAAGCACAAGTCAAATAGCACCCAGAGAGGGTTTCAGACAAAGCACTGAAGAGTACTGGACTGGCCAGCAATGAGCCCAGATCTGAATCCCGTAGAGCACCTGTGGAGAGATCTCAAAACAGCAGTTGGCAAAAGGAACCCTTCCAATCTGGGAGACCTGGAGCAGTTGGTGAAAGTAGTGGTCCAAAATTCCAGTAGAGGTGTAAAATTCATTGATGGTTACAGGAAGCGATTGATTTCAGTTATTTTCTCCAAGGACTGTGCTAACATATTGAGGGTGCTAATAATTTTTTCAAGTCCATTTGGAGTTTTGAATACGTCATTGATTTGGCTTTTTTTCTCCACTTTTTTGTGTCATACCAATACAAAGAAATAAACATGAGAATGCCTAAACATTTGTAATTGCAACATTTTCTATATATATCTATCTATCTATATATATATTAAATACCATCTTTTATTTAAAATAAAATACACAAATGGAGTGTTACAAAGTTTTTCACAATACAATTCCATGCACAATTTTTTGCAATTGCAAGGCATTGCGATGTACATCACTTCCTATTCATTCAAAACTGGTACATAGTAACTCACACTATGTCAAATTATGACATAGTCATCACTGAATGTACCTGCTCTCCATCCTGGATTGGCTCTCACAGGAGGCCAAGTCGGCGGGGAGGAGAGCTCGGTTTAGTTTGACAGTCGACCCCTTATCGCTGGCTCAGCCTCGTGTGACAGCTGTCTCCGCCCATACACCGCTGTACATCCTGATTTGTCACAGGAGGTTGAGCAGGGTGGTGAGGGAGGAGAGCCCGGCCTCCTGTGACATTGCTGCTCACATTGCTCTCCTCCACGCCCAGCTCGGCCTCCTCTGACAATTTTTCTCCTCGATGCTGCGCCATAGGGGACAAAAAGCAGCGGGGAGGAGAGAGACTAGGAGGTGCACCAAAATTTCGGCTAAAAGTGCCTAAGGTGCCATTTTCGGTGCATCCCTAAGTGTGTATTATATTAAACATTTTAATTAGTTTCAAGGATTCAAAATAATCTGAATTGAAAAACATCAAGCCTATATTAAAATAACTAGGAATTCACCGATACCGATACTAGTATTGATATTGGTGCCGATTCCGAGTATTTGGGCAAGTACTCGCCCAAATGCTCCGGATGCCTAGCACGAGTACTTCCGGTATCAGGAAGCCGGTTTCGCGATTGACCGGAAGCTGGCCTCGTAAGGTAAGGTTACCTTAGTATGTGTAGCCTGTCATCCCCCGAGGCCTCTCCAGCGAGAATGCGGCCTTCGTCCGGTACCCAGCCCGAGCTGTCCAATCAGGAAGCCGGGCGCCGTCTAATGACGTGACACCCTGCTTTCTGATTGGCCGGGAAGCTGGCTTCATGCTCCCTCGTCATATCATGAGCATGGAGCCGGCCTCCCGGCCAATCAGAAAGCAGGGCTTCGCGTCATTACACAGCACCCGGCTTCCCGATTGGCCGGCTAGATGGCTCCGGCTTGGTACCGGACAAAGGCCGCGTTCTCGCTGGAGAGGCCCCGGGGATGACAGGCTGCACATACTAAGGTAAGAGGGGACTTTTTTGTTAATCGAGTCATTACACGACACTTGGCTTCCTGAATGGGACTTCCGTCACTCGGTAATAGGTAGCGGCAAGTACAGAAAAAAAATTATCGGTACTCTGTACCAAAATACCGGTATCGGTGTATCCCTAAAAATAACCAAACTAATTCAAAATATGGACAAAAAATAATAATTATCGGTTTTAGGCAAAGCAGAAACACAATTAACGCAATCTGTCCCTTTGATCATTTCTACCTTGCAGACAGAACACAGACCAGAGTGGGTACATTGTCAGGTGTTTCAACGCAGATGTCCCTCCACTTGGGAGTAAATATAACAGGCAATGTACCTTTAAACAGCACTTTCTTCCTCGAATACTCACGACCCCTACCAGTGTGAAGTGTCAGGAGATAAACAGAAAAAAAACTTGGCCACTTTTTGTGGTGGACAGCAGGATAATGGTGCAGAAGCTATAGAACATATACAGCTTAACTAGTGCCCAAGCTGCTCAGTCTGTTAGCTTCTCACAGCTGTGTGAAATGTGGACGGGAGGAGGAGAGCGAAGGTTGGTGTGTATCCTCACTGGTCTAGGGACAGGCGACTGGCCAGATCAACGTGGGCTGTGCTGAGGGAGTGCAAGTGCACACACAGTTAAAAAAAAAAAGCAAGTGTTATAGGTCGTTTTGTTAAATAGGGGAAAAAGACAGTTAAAAAAAATAGTCCACAGAATTAGTAAAAAGGAGGGAAGGCCTCCACAAAGAGGCAGTACGGTGGTTAGTGTACTCAACCGCCACGGTCCTGGTTCCAACATAAAGTTAACCCCTGACAAAACTGTCCTGACCTCAGAAATGGTCGCACAAACACCTCACCAGATAGGAACACAGCTGGGTGACTGAAAAGACCTGCACTCTTTAAATGAAGATATGACCCTGGGAACCCTGCACCAACATAAGACGAATCGTCAGTACTGAGGCTAGAAACGACATGCCTCCTGACAAATAGAGAAACTTTCACGATTTAACTTATCCAGCATGAATCTCAGTTTTGTCTGCTAGCTAGAGAAACTTCCCAAGATTTATTATCCGGCACTAATCAACTAGCAGTTCTTAATAGTAGGATCTCACCAAAGTAACAAAACAAAAAAAGCAGAAGGGAAGGACCTCCGCTGAGGTCACCAAGCGAAACTGGCAGGAGTTATGATCTTAAGTGGCAGAATTGAATTTTGTGCCTATTGTCCATTTCTCCTTAAGGCAACAGCATAACCCCTACGTCTCAGAATCCTTCAGATCTGTGTCCCTCAATGGACGATGTTAAACAGGGGTTGGCTCACAACATTTCTATTTGCCAGTGTCTCAACCTCCTGCAGGTAGCAGCATAATCCAAGTGTACCTGAATTTCAGTGTCCCTCAATGGGTGATAAAGAAATGTAAATCTCAAACTTGCTTACCTGAGGAAATACATAGCTCCTTTGATCGCCACCAGCCCATTGTGGAGCCACCTGCACAACAGAAAAAATAGGATTTTGTTGAACTCATCGTAAAATAATTTTCTCTAAGTTCATTGAAGGACACAGCCAAATCTTCATTTTATATATACCACATATGTACATACCTACATATATTTATATATGCACATACTTATGGTAATAATCCACTTCACCACCAGGCCCTAACACACTATATAGCCCTTATAGATATAGGGGTCGCGATCAAGTAAAGTCCCTTTGTTTTTTGTCTACCAAGCATCCTACTCCTGCAAGTGGCATATAACCCTTCCGTAAAATAAGGATTTGGCTGTGTCCTTCAAAGAACAGAAGAGAAAAAATGTCTTGAAAAAATAAAAGGACATTGAAACCATAAAGTTAGTCAAGGTACCTGAAAATATCCTGGCTGCTGGTATGTCATGGGTATTTGCTGTAACATGACTGGTGAGTTTGGGTAAGGGCAAGTCTGCAACATAAGATGCGGTTATTGGCAATAATCCACAACTGGCCATCAGAACCATGCAAAGTACAGATTCCCTTTAAAGGGACACTAAACTCAGGAACTAAATCTTAGAAATGCATTTAAGTAGACTTAATAAAAATGTACCTTATTTGTGCATCTCCGTATATATAGTGGGCTATTGTCCTCAATATACCGAGAATGCCGCAGCCTCGATGGAGAGAGACAATACAGTCTGGATCCACCGAGCTGCAAGTGTGACAGCTGGCTATGCCTATCTAGAGGCAGAGCCTCTGTTCCTCCACTCAGCGCTGGAGTATCAGAGAGGGGGGAATCCTTGCGGGGAGGCGTGACTGACAGTCACCAATCACTGCAGGGGGACGATCGGGATGTGAGCGGATCAGCGGCATGTTTCTGCTCACTTCCTGAATAGAGCCGAACTGTGACAGCTTCTTTGTCACAGGTTGGCTCCAACTATAAGGATGAGTGGAAATCACTCACCTCATAGTTCTCCTTTAAAGATGCATTGAAGTACCTTAACAATTAACAAACGCTTGGGTATCACTCAGCTGTAGATCCTCAAATCTCTGAATTCATGCCGACACGGTCTTTCCTTCTGGAGGGTGGCTATTTTTAATAGTGTGCTGTAAAGTAGCCATCGTTCCAAGCTCACTCCGATGAAAGACTATAACTTCAATATGAATTAGTTAACATGAGATTGTAGTCAATCACTTTACAACACACACAGGGACCATGGGGAGCAAAAGTAGCCACCCTCCAGAAGGAAGAACGGTGTCAGCACCAATTCAGAGATGATTTGAGGATCTACAGCTGAGGGATACACAAATAGGATACATTTTTGTTAATAGTTAGGGTATTTGAAAGCATTTTTTAATATTTAACTTCCGAGTTTAGTGTCACTAACTTTTTTTTTTTTGTACAGCACAATGTTAAAAATAATGTATATTATTTCCAAGCACAGCTACTGATATTCCCGGCATTAAACCAAAAATGGATCTGGACAACCACAGTATGATTTCTTTTGCCAATTACATCAGGATTCCCCCCACCACCAATTTCTCACCTGAACATAAGGTGCAATAGGACTAAACATAGGCGTGGGCTGAACATATGCATCTGTGACAGGAGTGTTCCACATGCTCTGATATTGTGGTGCTGGAGTGCTAAGCATCACAGTTCTTGGTTGTAAGTGCGTGCCTAAAAACAGAATATAGAAATCAGTGCCTTTCTTGAACCAAAGTTAACAAAGACAAAGTAGAGATTTACTTACATGTGCTTTGCTTTCTTATAGCTGGTCCGAGTTTTAGTTTCTTTCCATGAAAGCTGATCTGTGACTTAAGAATAAAGAAGAAGTATATGAAACCACTAAGTCACCAGATCGAATGCATCGAGAAAATTGGATACCAGCATCTGAGTACTAATTACAACATATGTAGAGAAGGGAACAACTTATTTTAAATAATAAAACTTCTGCAGGCTCAAAACAATCAGTTGAATTCTGAAAAACACAGGCCCACAGTTTTACAAGGTATCTGGATCTAAGGACAAAACATATTCCTTAACAAGATTACAATAGGAATATGTCGAGAGACGTTTCAGGCCAAGAGTTACAGGAGTCCATGAGATACAAATACTATCAAGCAAATGTTCAGCTGTGCTAAAGTCAAAGTTGCCTCAACTTACAAACCTATCTGAAATCTAATACTTTGCAGCTAGGTTTTCATAGACCATCATCAGGGAGCAATAGAAATGCACTTCCTCGTACCAGATGGTTAAAACAACTTTGTGCTGGAATTTTACATCAGGCATTTATTGTATATCAGTATGTACTCCAGCATCCTAAAAAGGAACATTTCAGGATCATCAGATTGACAAAAGGAACTGGTTCAGTACAAGAATTCCAGGATGAAATATTAACGTATTAAGCAGGTAGGCTGCATTCTGGGTGTGATTGTCTGATTTCAAAACCACCTGACTGCTTCTGGCAATGCCTCTATTCTTCCCTTTTCCCCCCAATCAGGAATCTGTTAAGATGGGATAAAAGCCTTAATGTGAAGCTGGACAAATCCTAGTAGCCAATTTACCTAAAAGGAGAGATGGTGCATAACTCAAGTCTTAGATTAAATAATGAGTTAAAGCGACACTAACGGCTCAGTCACACTAGATGGAGTGCGTTCCAGACCGATTTTGGCCAGAACGCACTGCCTCGCATTGCGGCCAGCTCACTTTTTAGTGGGGTAGGAGGGGACGTGCCTTGCGATGCTGTGCGGCGGATCGCATGGCGGCCGGAGGGCGTGGCTACGGCGCCATTCACTTAAATGGCCCGTTAACAACCCCTCCTACCGTGTTTCCCCGAAAGTAAGACCTACCCTGAAAGACCTAGCGCTATCTTTGGGGATTTCTGTAATATAAGACCTACCCCGAAAATAAGACCTAGTTCGGTGGTAGGTCTTATATTACAGAAATCCGCTAGGTCTTACTTTCGGGTAGCGGCACATAAACTGAATTTTGAATCTAAAGACCGGCCGCAGCTCCCGCCCACGGCCCAGCCGGCCGATGCTTCCGCCCACACGCCAGACGCAGCTCCC